AACAACCTAAACTTACACCTACCTAAAGGAACTAGAAAAAGAAGAATGCACAAAGCTCAAAGCTAGTAGAAGGAAGGAAATAGTAAAGATTAGAATGGAAATGGGGAAAAAAAAACAAAATGATAATACAGTCAATGAAACTAAGAGCTGGATCTTGAAAAGATAAACAAAATTGAAAACATTTAGCCAGACTCATCAAGAGAAAAAGAGAAAGGACTCAAATAAAATCAAAAATGAAGACGGAGCAATAAGAACCAATACCACAGAAATACAAAGAATTATAAGAAGATATTATGAAAAATTATTTGCCAACAAATTGGACAACCCAGAAGAAATGGACAAATTCTCAGAAATATGTATCTTCCAGAATTGAATAAGAAATAGAAAATTTGAACACAGAGATTACTAGTAATGAAATTAAATTAGTAATCAAAAGGCTCCCAACAAACAAAAGCCCAGGGCCAGATGGCTTCACAATGAATTCTACCAAACCTTTGAAGAGTTAATACCTATTCTCAAACTACTCCAAAAAAATAGAAAGGAAAACTTCCAAATTTGTTCTACAAGGTCAGCATTACCCTGATTACAGAGATACTACAAAAAAAAAAGAAAACTACAGGTCAGTATCTCTGACCTAGATACCAAGCATAGATGCAAAATTCCTCAACAAAACATTAGCAAACTAAAAAAAAAAAAAAAATTGCAAACTAAATCCAACAACACATTAAAAGGATAATTCACCATAATCACTTGGGATTTATTCCAGGGATTCAAAAGTGGTTCAATATTCACAAATCTATCGATGTGATATGCCACATTAACAAGAGGAAGGATTAAAACTGTATGATCACCTCAACAGATCTAGGAAAAGAGAAGGAACCTTTCACATGGATAGCACTTCTACTTGAAAGATTTGAGTGTGTCCCTGGTTCAGAACTCCTTCTAGATTTACCAGGACCCCTCTAATTCCTCAAAAGTAGAATATGAATGTGAACGTGCCATGGTTAACTGGCAGTATCTATCCTTAAGATTTGGGTCTTCTCCAGTTTCACTCAGTAGCCCTATCGCTTAGTTGACAATACTGAATTCCTAGATTGCTGCTCATTTAGAGCAAAAATGCAGAAGATGGATTAAAAGAAATATGATCCCAGAACTGGTACAATACTGAGAGTTACAGTTCCAGATTGAGTAAATTTTCAATTTATCTAAAAAACAATCTCTGTACTGTGTGTTTGCTCTCTGAAGATGCTATAATGACAAGTAATTCCACCCTTACTGATAAGATGTATAACATACTTGTATATCAAATGTCTATTTGCATCATCACAGAGATTCTAAGAGAAAGATACTATGATTCCCATTTTACAGAGTAAAGTGAGACTCAAAGAAATGAAATCTAATTTTCCCCAATTAAATAAGGTCTTTAGCCAAGAAGGAAATCTAGTCTTTTGATACTAAAGCTTCTTTTTCTTCCACAGATATAATATAAAGTCTAATGGGAATAAGTAAACTAATTTCTCACTATCAAGCTATTTTTATACCATTTTGTCTATGATAGCTTCTGCTTTTGTCAGTGGTTGCTCTAAATTAAGTAGTATGTCAAAGGCATGCTCTATAGAGACATAAGAACAGTAAAGCAAATGAAGGCTGAAATAAGAGCCAATACTCTTAGAGATGATTACTTTTAAATTTTCATTCTAATAGTAAAAAATTATATATGTGCATTATTTAAAATTTGAAGTACAGGGGCTCCTGGGTGGCTCAGTCAGTTAAGCGTCTGACTTCAGCTCAGGTCATGATCTCAGGGTCCTGGGAATGAGCCCGAGTTGGGCTCCCTGCTCCGTGGGAAGTGAGTCTGCGTCTCCCTCTCCCTCTCCCTCTTCCCCCAGTCCTGTGCACTTTCTCTTTTTCAAATAAATAAAATCTTTAAAAAAAATAAAATTTAAAGTACAAAAATGTATAAAGAAGAACATAATAATTACCTTAATTCTGCAATTTGGAGAAGATATATATACATGGATATATATATATATATATTTTTTTTTTTTGCTGCATACCATTTACTCTTGTCTGTACACACAAATGTATGTATACAATCTAGATGTGAATTTGGTTTTGTGAAAAGATTTGCTACATATATAAACATCCTGTGTACTGTGCCTAAGTTGTATAATACTTCTTCATAAAATATTTATGAACTTCTTTACATGTCTCAATTATACATCTGTATTATCACATTTATGTTTGTACTGTATATTATTTAATCAGTTCTTTATTATTGTCTGTATAGATTGTTTTTTAAATTCATTATGATAGAGAGCCCCATGATGAATTTGTACATATATCTGGCATAATTATATTCTCACTTCTATTGGATGGAAAATTTAATTCCAAAGTGAATTTGCTGTCTAAAATGGAGCTTGTTTTTAAGTCCTTTCAATTTGAAAAAACACATTGGCCTTAAATAGCTTTACAAATTTATATTCCCACCAGGACTGAAAGAAATTATGGTTTCCTTCACTTTTACCATCACCAAATACATATTAACATATTTATTCTCAGTGAATATTCAGTTTAAGATCTTTGCCCATTTTTCTATTGAAGTACCTGTTTATTTTTTGTCATTAACATGTTCATGTGATATTTTAAGAATATTAGTCCTTCTCCATCTGTCATGTATATTGCAAATAGTTTTCCTACTTTGTTGTCTTTTAGTTTACAGTATTTTCTACCATACAGTTTACATTTTATCTTTATATTCACCTAGAAAAGCCTTTTTTCAGCCTAAGAGTACAAATATAACTTTTATTTTCTATTCCTATGTTGTAGTTTGGCTTTGGTGCTTTTTTTTTTCAGTTTTTTATATTGTATTTTTTCTATTGTGAATTGTATGCTTACATTTTTCTATTTATCTACTGAGTAACGGGGTTTTCTGTCATAGATACAATTATTGTTCTTTTCTTTTTCTAAATTTTGAAGTACAAAATCTGAAGTACAATTTTGATTGTCTTAAAACTTCGAATAATACTTAATTGAAAGCCCCTCTTCCCCACTGTCTTTTTTCTGTACGCCTTGGTGTGTACCTTTCCTTGTGTCGTGTAACATTGGTGTGTGTGTATTGAAGCTCTTCCTAGCAGAATGGACACTCATGCCTCTTCGTGTGAGTTTCAGGTGATCAGCTGAGGTCACAACTTGACTTTAATTCCAGCCGAATTACGGGGAAAAGAATCCCAGGGACCCACCAGTCACACAGTCCCATGGTGTTCCTGCTGGTTCAAGGGCTCTTCAGGCTAGCAGAGGCAGACAGAAACCCATCCATGACATTTCATTTTAGGTAGCAATGACCAAAAATCTACCGATGTACTTTTGCAACCTTTCTCTTCACTTGCAATCCTTTTAGATTCTGAGATATTTTTGATTCTTGAGCGTTGTGTCATATATGAGATTTTTCCTGAGACAAATACTTCATAAACAATTGGGAAACTGTGTGAGGAGATGTTGTCACTTTCATTTAAGCTGGGATCTCTCCATCCCCACCTTCCATCTGTTCGAGGGAATTATATTTTGTATGGCTGTATGGCATATCAGGGATCACCCTATATATTCCAGATGTTAGTGGATTAATATCAATATTTTCAGAACACAGACCTAAAGAGATTAAGTGATATACCCCATTGACACAATAAATGAGGGAAAGGGAAATCCTAAAATTAATAGCCAATTTTATTATCCAATAGAAAGGAACACCTTTTATAATCTACTGCCTATGAGGCTCTAGATAAAAGAAATATTAGTTATATTTCTCAAAATAAAGTGTAAATAGCACCTACATCAGGATAACTGATTATTCAAAATCATGGTGAAAAGACTTTAAATAGTATTTTGACTTTTAAAGCAAATATATTAATTTTGTACATCAAGAACTAGAAAGGAGAAAACTATTAGAATGTAGACTGTTGATCTCCATCCAAGACCTCTGGGGTGGGGGGTGGTTACTTCATTTAACAGGTCTCCAGCTGATTCCTGTGCATGCTAAATTTTAAGACCAATTTCTGATGTGTTTCCTCCCATATTCAGACTTAAAAGCTGGGATAAGCATGACGGTATAAAATAAACATTTGATGTTGTATTTCACTTTGTATATGAAGTTAAACAATGTCCCATTTTCCCTTAGTTTCAAAGAATAATTTAGAAAACTCTTTTTTTCATAATTGTGATAACTACCTGAATATAACTTGGGATGTTCTACTTAATTGGACACACTAATATAGACAGTTATTTAAGAGCAGAATTAATGTTCTCCAAACTCTTTCATGTCTTTTTCATAGCAAAAATAAATCTCAACAATCAGATTTTTTTGGAAATACTTGGGAGGTTCTGCCAAAACATAAACCTGTAATACTGTTACTGAAACCCCATTCTTCATGGAAGTATTTATTCTAAAATAGTTTCCGTAAAACCAAGTTTCCTAATTTCAAGCATACTGCTTAATTATATTTTATTGATGCTGATAACTAAAAGCGAAGCAAAGCATTAGAGTGGACTTCAGTTTATATGTATTGGAGGGTAATACAAGATTGAATAAATTCTCAAAGTTAAAAATTTGCCAATTATGTAAAACTATAAATCAAACAAGCTACTTAGGAAATTAAAATTATGTCTCACAAAATTTTTGCCTTAAAAACCAAATATATAGTTTACAAATTTGGTTGTCAGTACTTCATTTTTAATCATGGATGAGTAAAGAGATGGATAATTTTGTGAAAAGCAAGTATAATAAATTGTTAATGGTACAACAGAGGCAAAAAAAATAATCATGGTATTGCTTCAAATTAAAAGACGAATATAATTTTACCAAGTAAAGTTAAGTAATTCAGGGATAATTAATAATATTTTTAATAAGGATCTGACATATATAACATTAAACCCAGAGGTTATTTTCATTCGTTTTCAAATCTCTTAATCTGATAACTGATGGATCTTGCATGTTTCTTTGATAGGCGTATGCAGGCAAAGATCTGGAGGAACAGTTGCGGTCAGTGTCCAGTGTAGATGAGCTCATGACCGTACTCTACCCAGAATATTGGAAAATGTACAAGTGTCAATTAAGGAAAGGCGGCTGGCAGCGTTATAAAGAACAGCCCAACATCAATGCAAGAACAGAAGAGACTGTAAAATTTGCTGCAGCATATTATAATGCAGAGATCTTGAAAAGTAAGTATGGGAAAGAAAATATATGATAAGCTTTATATATCAACCCAGTGAAATCTGCCAGCCTGGTTTTTGTTTGTTTGTTTGTTTGTTTAATTTCAACCTTTGTACTACTAAATGCCTTTAGGGCTGAAAGCAAACAAAATAAGAATAAAGATTTTCAAAATATGGCATTTTATAACTTAACCACTGTGAGTGGTTAAGAGGATTTCTCGAAATATAAAAATAGAAAGGTACAGGCCTACCAACACATTTTTTTTTTGGTTAAGGTGATACTCCGTTGCAAAATTTTAAAAACCTGAAGATACATTTTCTACACTGTCTCAGTTTAACCATTTAAACATTCTATATCTTACAAAATAATTGCATGTACATTTTCTGATTTGGATTCAGAAATGCTTAATTTCTAAATCACCCCAAATCATCTTTTCCAAGATTTCTTATTGCCTTGCTGTTTCACAGGTGGCTTGGGAGCTGGACTTGGGGAAAGCTACTAAATGATCTAGCAGAGAGCATCACAAAAAATTATGATGCTGCATAAATGGCATAGTATAAAGTGGTGGACTATGTTAAAAAAAATAACTCCCTCCAGTTGTTAGATAGTAATCGCTACCAGGGTTTAAGATTGCAAACTATTTTGAGAACACATGCAATCAAAATGGGTTCAAGTTTGAATAACCCATAGTTTATATTCTTTTTTCTAAAAATGTTACTTGAGGGAAAAGATGGGAAAAAAGAAGCTAGAACATTTAAGAAGTACATCATCTATAATGCAATATTTAAAGAGTCCACGGTGTTGGGGCTAAACCCCTAACTCACTGGAAACAGAATTCCAAGGGAGCGCATAAAAGGAATAGGAAAATTTGAGTTTCCTGAAGACACTTAGTTCAGGATACATGTCCCAGTTGATGGAAGATACCCTTGCATTTCAAGTGACATTCCCCAAAGCTGCCAGATAGCCTGCCTGAAAATGATCTTTGAACTCAGTCGAAACCCATAGCAATTTCCTCATTTACATCTCCTTTTAGAAAGAAAAAATTAAATCATGTTGTTTATCTTTGCTTTGAGACCGCAAAAATAGCACACACTATAGCAAATGAGCGTGACTCTCTCTCTCTGCAGGTCCTGCAAACACCTATCTATTAAATTTTCATTTTCTTAAGCAAAGAAAACCAAACATAAGTGCTGCAGAAAAATCGGTGTTGTTTTAAGAAAGCATAATCCTAATTTAGCGTGTTACCTGGCTATAGAAATTTGTTTTTTAAGAAAATATCATTTGCTGCTCTGTTAAATATTAAATAAATATTATATTGAATTCCAATCCACAGGCAATTTAGGATCCTGTCAACTCTTTCTTTTTTAACATTATGTATTATACTTCAGTCTGAAAATCTGAAATCAAATGTGACTTCCAACTGCTGTGGGCTCTTCCCCCTCGCTGGCTTCTGTGTAACTTACGGCCTTCCCTATGACTCGACAGGTATTGATAATGAGTGGAGAAAAACTCAGTGCATACCACGTGAGGTGTGTATAGATGTGGGGAAGGAGTTTGGAGCAGCAACAAACACCTTCTTTAAACCTCCATGTGTGTCCGTCTACAGATGTGGAGGTTGCTGTAACAGCGAGGGCCTACAGTGCATGAACACCAGCACAAGCCACCTCAGCAAGACGGTAGGTGTGCTGGCTCCATGGGGGGCCTGCTCAGTCCCTGACCTCAGTCCCTGGCCATGGCTTTGGTCCCTCTGCAGTCACTCCGGGTCCTTCTGAGCTGCTTCCGTTGTCTTTGGGGAATGAAGTGAACTTCTCAGTATTCTGTGGTGTTGAGACTATTATCTCACAAAGAAAGTTACTGTTGCTTTATGGGCTCTGTTCCTAATAGTGCTAATCAAAGCCAAGGGAAGCAGGTAATAAATATACATATGAATGTGGGTGTCTGTGTGTCTGTGTGTGTGTCTGATCTAAATATTGTTATTTGGCAATCAATTACTTTTCTTCTGATTAAAGAGCTACAGCACAAATCACAAGTTCAAAATGTGTAACAAAACGTGTGTTCTGTACAACAGCAGTGTAATATTGAAATAAGCCAACACTCTGAACATACTCATTGTGTCCATTTGGAAAGCAAAGAAAATATTCTGACACTAAATCTCAGGTATTTTGAGTGACCTGTAAAGTCCCATCACATTAGATGTGAAGCTTTTAAAATAATAACCAAGAAACTTACTTTAAGGTTTGGTCCGGGATTTTCAGTGCAGATGCGCTAACCTGCATGGTAGGTCTTTTGTGAAAGAGGAGGCTGGCTATCAGAGGGCATGTTTATGAGCTGGTGATAACCACAGAGTGTTGTTTAAAGGGCTGTGTACCACTGTCCTCTGCACAGAAATGTTTGGAGAGGCCCAGGCCATGAGCTGGGCTGATGCAAACTTCCCAAAACAGAAACTTGTGTTTGGCTGAAAGACTTTTCCAATCAGTTTATGTGGCTACATTCAGAACTGCACAATTATTTTGAAAAATAATTCCAAAAATGTGATGTGAGGTTTAATTGATACAATGTGGAATGACAACAAATTAACATTTTTAGTCAAATAATGTCTACACTTGGAATACATATAATGAAAGCTTCTTCTCACAGAAACGAGATGACCAAAAGCTTGGATCCCATTAATAAAATCTACTCTGATTTTAATATAAATAAGTGGAAATGAAAATTAAGATTACCTGAGTTTCTTCAACTGCGTTTTCTCATCTGTTGGAAATTTCTAAAATTTTTACTCTAATGATCATCTGGGCTCTGGGTTTGGAGACACTGTCCTCTTGTACAATCCAAACTGCCTTTTGGGGGAAAAAATGTATTTCTTTGTATTGCTCATATGCCTGATGAAGGAATTAACCATTTTAGATACTAAGACTTGCAAGAGGAAACAAAAAATAAATAAATTATAAAACTGAGTTTTCTATTCAACTTACCTGTGCCTAAACTCTAAAGATTAAAAAAAAAAAAATTAAAAGGTGATGCTTTGGGACGCCTGGGTGACTCAGTCGGTTAAGTGGCTGCCTTCGGCCCGGGTCATGATCCCAGGGTCCTGGGATCGGGTCCCACATCAGGCTCCTTGCTCAGCAGGGAGCCTGCTTCTCCCTCTCTCTCCTTCTGCTTGTGCTCTCTCTGTCAAATGAATAAAATCTTTAAAAAAATTTTTAAAAAAAGGTGATGCTTTGTGGCCTGACATCATTCCTGTTATCATCATAGTTAAGCACAGCCAGAAGGAGATTATCTATTCTTGATTACCTTCTAGAATCCAGCACAATGACACAGTGTTCCTTCTGGCAAACGTTAGCAAGAGACGCAGCATAATTCTAAATATATTCACACATTTAGAAACTTAATCAGTAGAATATATGTTTATGGGTCATGGGATAACATTTCTGTGCTCGATAAAATTCTTATATTTTAATAGAATGACACATAATTATAGTGATTGAGCACAGCAAAACTCCTTTGTAGGATCCCCCACCCTCACCCCTCCATCTTTATCAAACAGTAATTAGGAATTTGTGAGCTAAGAAACTGTAGATTGTACACTATTCTGAGTAAAATACTACTAATTTAACAGGTTTTACTGGATAATAAGTGTTTATCTTATCTTAACCCTGAAGTAAAACAGGATTTAAAAATCTTTAATAAGTGTTGGAACTTAACACTTTTTTTAATCAAAACAAATACTTATTCCAGTAGGATAACCCCAAAAAACTAACATTTATTTTTTTAAAAGATGTTAATATTAAAAATGTTGCTGCTTTTATATTTAAGCCAAGTTCCATAAAAGGATTTTTGGCCTTCTGAGTTTCTTGAAATGTCATTTTTTTAAAAATAGAGAAAATAAATATGAGTGAGGATATTACATTTTTGGAATGCCTTTAATAGCATATATTTTTAAATACTTTGATTAAGCAATATGATATGTATTCTAGATTATATTATTATTGTTATGGGATTTGACTTAAATCAGTATCAGTTTGGTGGTTCTTCAAAAGTCTGGATATGCCAGTTGTGTTTTCCAAAGACCAAAAGGCTATATCTGTTTTAAAAAATGGGATAACATGAAATAGCCTCAAAAGACAGATTTTGAAGAATTATTTCATCAAACAAAATGTATCTACTGAAAGCTCGTTATATATCATTTCAAAAATGCCTTATTGGATTCGATTGTTAGATGAAACTTTACTTTCAAAGTGCTCATATTGTGAAAGTATAAAGTTGAATAATAACTGTTTTAGCATTGGGGTTTTGTTTTGTTGGAGTTAATTTATTTTCTTGGTGAAAATCAGTTGCCAGTTGACAATATGTAAAGCTATTTTTCATTACTAATTTCCTCCACAGATTCTTCTATTATGCCTTGTTGATAGAAAAAAATGTTTTAATGAATTTTCTTTAAAAAAGCCTCATGCTTTAAGGTGTAATATTTATTATTTTAATATTTGAATCACATAGGGGCGCCTGGGTGGCTCAGATGGTTAAGCATCTGCCTTCGGCTCAGGTCATGGGATCAAGTCCCGCATCGAGCTCCTTGCTCAGCAGAGGGTCTCCTTCTCCCTCTCTCTCTGCCTCTCCCCTTGCTTGTTCTCTCTGTCTCTTTCACAAATGAATAAATAAAATCTTTGAAAAAATATTTGAATCACATATTTCAAAAGATATCTTCTTTAGATAGACATGCTAAAATGTTTTGTGCAGTAGTCCCTTAGACGAGCTTTCTGTTTCCAGCACCACACTCAATGCAAACAACACCCTGGCCTTGTGGTTTCCCCTCCTGATGTGTGACTTCATCGCTAGTCAGAAACACAGGGGTCGTCCCTGACATGTCCCTTCTCTTGTCACACGTCCAGCCTGTCACCAAATCAGATGTTCATTTTGTCCCCTAAGTATCTTGACTCCCCATGTCGACCACCATCACTGTAGTCCAACATGCTTTTCATGCTCTTTCCAGCTAATGAAAAACCCTGCCCTCTGCTCTGCTGCTTCCATTTCCCCTCGTCCCCATGCATTCTCTTAATGGCCCCCAAATGTGATATTTTTAAGACACAAATCTGGTGGTGTCAGTCTCCAGCATAAAGGCCTTTCAATGATTTCCCACTACTGTTAGAAAAAGACCAAAATCTTTATCACAGCCTTAAATGTCTGCCTTCCTCCACAGAACCATCTGACATAACTGTCCCTTGTCCTTAACTTTTTGTGCTCCTGAATGCTCTAGGCTTCCTTGAGTCCCTGGGAAACACTGTGCCCCCTCTAGCCCTCCATCCTTGCTCACACTTTTAAGTCAACTTCTCCTGCTAGTCTCCTCCCTGCTGAGGTACCAGTTCTTCTATCACATGGCTCAACAAGTCCTTGGGGGAGACTTTTCTGACCTCCTTGATTGGATCCTATATTTCTTTTAAATGCTTTATAGTTTCCCATACTTATCTTTCATAGCACTCACTACAGCTTATAATCCTAGTTTATAACAATATAGCCATTATTATTTGATTAATGTCCATCTCCTCCATAAAGCCAAGAACATATCTCTGTTGTTCATCAGTTCCCTGAGTGTCGGTTACGGAATTAGGATACATCCCCTTTTGGAAGCACATTAAAACCGACCCTCTCATCAGAAAAAAAAAAAATGAAGATATGGACACATCCACAGAGCTTACCCCACAGTTCCAGGGGGAGGTGTCCTTACCCTCGTTGTTATCCACTGAAGCAGATATTAAAACTACTGCCTTGAAGGTCAGTAATAATAAAATAGTTGATTAACTCACCTGTGTAATTTTTAAATAAACCAATCCTATTGCCTAATCAAAGTATGGGCTATAAATTTCAGATCAGTCTTTTAAAAATATCCTGTTTTTGAACAAATGGAAGAGAAAATGCTCCCCTTTTTTTCCCTTTCATAGTTGATGTGAGCAGAAGTCACCATTCTATTCCTCTTAACTATTGTCTTACTAAATACACACTTTACACATGTGCCAAATAGCTACCAGAAGTGCCTTAGATAAAGTCTAAACTTGGAAAACAGAAAAATCTTTGTTAGTAAACAAAATGAATGAATGTAGTCTTCTGTTCACCATTGGTTTTTCTGGGACCACTGCATATTTATTCCCTCCAGTGGCTTGATTAGGTCCCATGTCGACCTAATGGGTGCCAGAGTGAAAGCATTTATTCAAGGATAAGTGTGTATGCATAACAGCACACAAACTTCTCTGTCAGGTTGGAGGCATCAGAAGGTTGTAGGCTTCAGAAAGTAGAAGGCTTCCAGGCTAAGAGCATGTAGTGCTAAGTTGAAGGTATGTGTAGGTAAAATAAAACTTGGTCCAGTAACCCCAAATAGGATATTTTTGCTAAAAGAAAACTAAGTCTATGTTAGATCATATGGAATCAGTTCTCACTGAATTTCATCCTCTTTCACCTCCAGGTTTTAGAGAATTTAGCAAGGTCTTTAAAACAGATTCATGATGTTGAAATCATTTATTTTGCCTGCTTCCTCATTGGAAAAATCAAAATTTACCTATAAAATTGTTGAGGTCTGGTTTCTTGTTGTTGGTCTGTTGTTTTCAACTTTTATTTTGATCCTTTTTGATAGGCTTGACACAATGCAATAATCACATTTCTTACAAATTCTGACCTGCAAAGTGGTAGT